GTTAGTTTTATAAAGAAAAATTTTAAATTACTATCAACTAGTACTAGAAAATTTTAGTTTTAATTTTCGCAACCAGGACAAAATTAAACTAATTATTATTAATAAAATCTGTTGTGTATGATTACTAGTAATTAGCAAGTCTTTAGAATATCTGGAGTTTATTTTACACTATTGTATTTTAATTCCTAAATTTCATTTACTGCTAATGTTAGTTTTATAAAGAAAAAATTTAAATTACTATCAACTAGTACTAGAAAATTCTAGTTTTAATTTCCACAACAGACATCGAAACTAAACTAAATATACACTGAATTATTAATGAAATCCGTTATGTATGAATAACAATAATTTTAATAAAATATTTAATTAATAATTTTATGTGGTATTATTAATTAATAGTAATTACCTACCTCTATGTTATCAATCATCTTTTGATTGGCTATTTCTTTCATAAATTGAGCACCATTCATTTTAATTTAAAAAAAATGTATTCATAGCACCCAAACCATTTAATGCACGTGTTTCTTTGCACCTTTTCTTAATCAGTATGAGAAGTTACTCCGCTCATAACACACATTACAATGATAAGAATACCTAATTGTAAGTGAGATAGATGATGTGGCTACATAATTATTTATGAGACATACGTAGGAACGTACGTTGTGGTGATTATCCTTTCGTGTTTGCTTAATGTTCAGTACATCTGCACCGGCCTTGCTATAAACAATTTAATTATTGTTTATAAAACAAAAGTCTGTCGTACTTAATGTGATAAATGCGTCGAAAATCAATTTTGAAGGAGAAGAGTTATCATGGTTTTTGTTTTTTGACTTTTGTAAAACAAAATTACTTAAACAACAAAATTGACGCATAACATGAACAACACAACAGTACACGAACGTAACATATTACCCATATTCCATCAAATAACTGATAAATTAATAAAAAATCTTATCTTAGAATCCACAATTGTTTGCTAGAATTACTAAAAAAAAAACAAAAATCGAAGAGAAACTTTCAAACTAACAGCAACTCATTTTACCTATATTTCTACTGTAACATGGAATAACGTCTAATTTGCTTCTTGATTGGTTTAGAATGGAATGCAAAGTGGATAACATATGTAGATTAGTTAGGTAAGTGAATAATTCATAGGGTTTTTGACATGGGAATTTTCGATTTCCTGAGAAATTTATCGCACTTGAATTCTGTGAAAAAATTGTCAAGAAAACTACAAACCTTTTATTTTTTGCCAGTTGAATTCCTTAACTAATTTTTTACCGAAATTTTTTTATATTTCCCCGGAGATTTTTACGACGTAAAAAATGATGATCTTTTCCCCTTTTCCCTAATCTAGATAGGTTTAGGGAAATTTCCCTGTCTCGCAATGCTGACCAAAAATCAAATGTGTTAGTAGACATCTCTTTCTCTCTCTCTCTTCTACTTGCTGTTTGCAGAGAAATGAAGAGTGGACGAAGTAGATTGGATTAGTCTGCCATCCGCGGAATATATCCGATGGTATTCTAACAGTTTTTTTTTATTATTATAAAATACCTTCACCAATATTCATAATTAATATTTGTCGAAAACTCACCGGGTGTCCCCTGACACCTCACACAGTTTATTCTCTAAAATTAATATAGAAAATTCACTTGTTTTATTTAATTAAAATTTCTCTTTTAATAAGAAGTTAAATAAAAACCAAATCAAACAAAACTGTAAATCTACAGGTATTCTTAATTTCCTTAATTCCTTAATTTCCTGTGAACAGACTATAGCAGTATTAGCATCTAGCAAGGAGGACCTAGAGATAGCTTTAAATAAAATGGAAGCGGTGCTGACAAAACAGCACTGTATGAAAATAAATAAAAGTAAAACTAAAATAATGATATGCAAGGAAAGAAAAAATAGGGAAAGAGCGAATATAAAGATAGGAGACGAAAAATTAGAAGAAGTGGCTGATTTTAGATATCTAGGAAGTCAGATAAGTCAGAACGGAAAGAGTAGTAGGGATATAAAGCAGAGGATAGCGCAGGGTCGTGTCGCCTTTAATAAAAAGAAGTCACTTCTATGCTCGCGAACGGTTAATTTAGAAA